GTTAGGGTTATTTAGATGCTAACTGGACCTGTGTGCAGGACTCGTGATGCGTGGGCTGAGGGCTCCTGGGTTTCTGCTGGCTGCGTTTCTGCTGCTGCGCTGCGTCTCTGCAGCCCCCAGTCTGAGGTGAGGAAAATATCCGAAATTTATGTTGAAATTTGATTTATTCTAATTTTTTTTAGTGATTTATGTGGTTCCCATATTCATTTTTAGCAAAAAATGTTAAGCTTCTTCTGGAAAAACTGAAACCTTTTCATCCTTTTTGAGTAAAATTAGCTCATTTAGTGGAAATCAGAGCTGAATCTGGAGGAAGAAAGCTGAAATTTAGATTGAAATTTGATATATTTTTACTTATTTTAGTAATTTATCTGGTTCCCATATTAATTTTGTGTGATTTTTCCAGTTTCTTCTGGAAAAACTGACATATTTTCATCCTTTTTGAGTCAAATTAGCTCGTTTGTGGAAATCAGAGCTGATTCTGGAGGAAAAAAGGCTGAAATTTAAGTAGAAATTTGATAAATTCTGATTAATTTTGCGGGATTTTATAAGCTTCTTGTGGAAAAACTGACATCCTTTTTACCTTTTTGAGTAACATTTGCTCATATTTAAAGAGTAAATATATAAAATGATCCACAGCTCTGAGTTCCAGCTTTTAGTCGACTAGTTTCAGCTCAACAGAGCTCATTTAGTGGAAATCAGAGCTGATTCTGGAGGCAAAAAGCCGAAATTTACATTGAAATTTGATATATTTCTATTTATTTTAGTAATTTATCTGGTTCCCATAATAATTGTGTGTGATTTTTCACACATTTTAATCCTTTTTGAGTAAAATTAGCTCTTTTGTGGAAATCAGAGCTGAATCTGGAGGAAAACAAATGAGACTAATGAGACAAATGAGCAAATTTGACTCAAAAAGGATGAAAAGGTGTCAGTTTTTCCAGAAGAAGCTGGGAAAATCACACAAAATTAATATGGGAACCAGAAAAATTCCTAAAATAAATCAAATTATATCACATTTCAATCTGAATTTCAGCTTTTTTTCTCCACAATCAGCTCTGATTTCCACTATATGAGTTCTGTTGTGCTGAAATTAGTCGACTAAAAGCTGGAACTCAAATCTGTGGATCATTTTATATTTTGACATTTTAAATATGAGCAAATGTTACTCAAAAAGGATGGAAAGATGTCAGTTTTTCCAGAAGAAGCTGGAAAAATGTATATGGGAACCAGATAAATGACTAATATAAATACAAAAAAATAAAAATATATCAAATTTCAATGTACAGCTGAGCTTCTTAGGTGTGACACATTAAGAGAGGCTGAAATGCTTT